TGGGTTTTAGCACACTCAGACAACTCTTGCACACTACAGTATCAGTTTCACTTTCTTTTCACATCTTCATGTTATGATTTAGTCTTCATGTTTTATGATTTATTTGTCATTAAACTCGTGTCTAGTAAAATGTGTACTGTGATCTCAGAAAATCAAGCTTCAAGCTCATCTTTGCTATTCAGAGCAAATTCAGGTTTGATATTTGGCAACAAAATGCACTTTCAAGAGCATTCAAAGGAAATATTTTCTTTTATTTGTTTTTTTGTTTGTTTGTTTTTTAGAAAACCAATAAACTACATGTGGAATAAATAGGTTAGACACAACCATACTTCTGTACAAGACAATTTCTATTATAGACTGGGAAAGAAAAAAAAACAATATGATCCCAATGAATACATTTTGCTAAAGGTTTCAAAGATTTAACTACAGAAGGCAATAGTTTGGTGAAATACTGTGGCAAAAACATAAGGGTAGCAAAAACGTAATCGTATAAATATATACATTTTATTTTTCAAGCATACGTAACAGTAATTTCGAGAAAGTCATACTTAGTGTTTACATTCCAGCACTGCTGGACTGAGTATGAGGTATTCACACAGCTGTCTACCCATAACCTGCCTGTGTTACAATCTAATCAATGTCACGTTTTTCCTTGGACGACGACACATGCGGTCAGTACAGTTGCTGCTGAAAGAAACAGTAATTTGTGAATTTCATGTATCAAAGTGATGCTATTATTGTATCCCTTGTGTACGTTGGAAGGTTGTAGTGCTGTTGAAATGGCAACCAGCATTTCAAAGCTTGGTTTGAACACCACAGTTTAACTTGAACATTAGTGAAAATGAACAGTTGTGGGTTACTTGACTTTGAAAAAATAAAATAAAAAATGAAAGCGAGACATAGAACCAAAATGTGGGCACTTGGAGAACTGTGTAGACAGACGACAAAAAAAATAAATAAATTCCTTTTTGCAGTAACACAAATGTACTCAACCAAGCAGGGCCTATGCTACAAGCTATGGTCTACACAGGAGAAGTTGGATAACTTGTGACTAGTACCATTTGCATTTTTTTATACTTAGCTACTTATGGTGAAATCTCACTAAACTACAGCAGCAGAAATCAGTTACTTTCAGCGTGATTTAAAAAACTGTTGACCTTCCTGAGTGAACAAGAAAAGGTGAGTGATACAATTTTTTTTAAATCGCAAATGGCAGTTGATATCAATGCCAATGTGGAAAAACTATGGCAGTTCCAGTGCCGTTTCAATTGACAATACTGATCTTAGCAAAAGAAATAGCACGTAGTAATTGTAGGGCAGCATGAACTGTTTTAGGATCAGTACAATATCTCACAGCTTGATTCATTACTCTTACTCATACAATGATGATCCCGACATGCCCTCCACACTAAAAATGACTGCAAGAGGTGGGTTTTCTGGATTAAAGTGAATAGATGGTAGTAGGGAAGAGTGTAGAACTGAAGAAAACCTATGTTGTGATGTGTTTCAGGATAAGAGATGGGAATCGCAAATGCCTGACAGCTGGGAGAAGATGGTTAACTTTCTTCAGAGGAAGAATCGGTTTTCCCTTTTTTGCTTGGGGGAGCACCATCTTCCAAATCCTTCAAAAGAAACCACTGAATCAGTTATAAAGCAGAAAACACAGCTG